GGAACCAGACAAGGATGCCCTTTATCACCACTCTTATTCAACATTGTGCTGGAGGTCCTAGCCAGAGCAGTTAGGCTAGAAAAAGAAATAAAGGACATCCAAATTGGAGGGAAGAAGTCAAAGTATCTATTTGCAGATGATCTTATACACAGAAAACCCCAAAGAATCCACAAGAAAACTACTTGAACTAATAGAAGATTTCAGCAAAGTTTCAGGAAACAAGATAAACATACAAAAGTCAGTTGGATTCCTTTACACCAACGAAGAGAACCTCAAAGAGGAAATCACCAAATCAGTACCATTTACAATAGCCCCCAAGAAGATAAAATACTTAGGAATAAATCTAACCAGAGACGTAAAAGATCTATACAAAGAAAACTACAAGACACTACTGCAGGAAACCAAGAGACCTGCATAAGTGGAAAAATGTACTTGCTCATGGATACGTAGACTCGACATTGTGAAAATGTCAATTCTACCCAAAGCGATCTACAGTTACATTGCAATCTCAATCCAAATTCCAACGGCATTTTTTTAATGTGATGGAGAAACAAATTAGCAGCTTCATATGGAAAGGGAAGAGGCCCCGAATAAGTAAAGCATTCCTCAAGAAGAAGAACAAAGTGGGAGGCCTCACACTACCTGATTTTAGAACCTGTTATACTGCCACAGTACTGGTACTGGTACAACAACAGATACATAGACCAATGGAACAGAATTGAGAAACCAGACATAAATTCATCCACCTATGAGCAGCTGATATTTGACCAAGGCCCAAAGTCCATTAATTAGGGAAAAGACAGTCTCTTTAACAAATGGTGCTGGCATAACTGGATATCCATCTGCAAAAAATTGAAACAAAACCCATTCCTCACACCGTGCACAAAAACTAACTCAAAATGGATCAAAGACTTAAATATAAAATCAAAACCAATAAAGACCATGGAAGGAAAAATAGGGACAATGCTAGGAGCCCTAATACATGGTATAAACACAATACAAACCATAAGTAACAATGCACAAGCACCAGAAGAGAGACTAGATACATGGGAGCTCCTAAAAATCAAACACTTATGCTCATCAAAAGACTTCACCAAAAGAGTCAAAAGACAGCCTACGGACTGGGAAATTTGGCTACAACAAATCCAATCAACGTCTAATCTCTAAAATCTACAAGATACTGCAAAACCTCAACAACAAAAAGACAAATAACCCAATTTAAAAATGGGCACTTCGCCGAAGAAGATATTCAGGTGGGTAACAGACACATGAAGAAATGCTCACGATCATTAGACATTAGAGAAATGCAGATCAAAACTACAATGCGATATCATCTCACCACAACAAGGCTAGCATTAATCCAAAAAACACAAAATAATAAATGCTGGAGAGGTTGTGGAGAGTCTGGAACACTTATACACTGTTGGTGGGAATACAAAATGGTACAACCACTTTGGAAATGGATTTGGCGCTTCCTTAAAAAGCTAGAAATAGAAGTACCATATGATCCAGCTCTCCCGCTTCTTGGAATATATCCTAGAGAAATAAGAGCTGTCACACCAATAGATATATGCACACCCATGTTC